GGGGAGGGAGATGCCCGGCCCCCGCAGAGGGGACAGAGACGCCCCTGTCCCCACCCTGTTCTGGGCATGTCTGGGACTTCTGCCGTCTCCTTGGTCCCACCCCCTTTTTTCTGTTTCACTTTAAAAAATTAGCCTCTTCTTTTTCTTTTCAAATTTCGATTTAAGTTCTAGTGAAAAATTAAACTCAGTTTTGAGAGAGTTGCAGATTCCCATGCAGTATAACACAGTCCACATACTCTTGTCCCGTTCAGAACATCTTGTCACAAAGGGCCACCCAGGACAGTGACGGTGACCCGGCAAGAGCAGGACTGGTCCATCCCGCAGGGACCCTCACGTGGCCTTCTGCCACCACCCCAAGCCCTCCTTTCCCCAGCAACCGCTAACGTCATCTCCATTTCTGCAGCCGTGTCCTTTCCAGAATGCTGTGTAAGAGAGCTGGATGCTTCTGGGGACTGGCTCCTTCGCTGGGCATATTTCCCTTCATCGCTGAGCGACCGTGCCTGGCATGGATGGACCAGTCTGCCCAGCGCTGTGTGCCGCCACTTGGTCCTAGGAGCCGCGAGGGTGGGGAGCCCGGTGGTAGTGAGATCACGGGGGGAGGGTTCACCTCCACCGCAGGCCCCCATTATGTGTCCTCCGGAAGATGAACCGAACCCACGGTGTGGTACTCTGGGCTGCCAGCCTCGGCCCGGATACCCAGGGGGCCCCCTCCTCATCCCGGCAGATCTGGTCTGAACCCTCACTCGGCCCCTGCAAGCCCAATGCTCTTAGAGATGGGGACGCGGAGGCAGAGAGGTCTAGCACCTTACCCGAGGCCATACGGCTAGTGAGCCTGACAGCAGGGCTAGAACGCCATCATCTGACCCTGTCCAGGGTTGGGGGTCCTCTCCCCCCTTCACACACCTCTACACCCCCCGCCCCATCCAGCACTGTCTCTGTGGTCAGGGCCGATGGAGGGCGTGAGTGGCAGAGTCAGGGCAGGGACCGTCCTGGGGGCCTGGATGCTGCTGTGTCAGGTGGGTGAGGTGAGAAAGGGAATGGCGGGTCCCAGAACCCGGAGGCCGGAGGGCGGGCAGGGAGCCCTGAGAGCCGCCAACGACAACACGGACACAGGTGGCTCTCGCTGCCGGCTGCCTGATGCCGGGTGTGTGTGGTGCCGGGGCGGCGGGCCGTCTGGGGGTTTGTGGGCTGAGGGGACGGGAGAGGGCCCGGGCAGGGGTTGCCAGGCGCGGGGTGCTCCCTGCAGAGCCCGCTGCGCGGGGCAGACGAGGAGGAGGACCCGTCCTGGTCACCGGGAGGTGGGGCAGGCATTCTTTGTGAGCCGGGTCCCCACCGCCCAGCACAGGTTCCTGCTAGAAAATGTCCCTGTTCTGACCTTAACGAGGTGGACTGAAGCTTGCTTCCTCACCTGTAGGATGTCCTGGAGGTCTTTATAGCGGGGAGAGGGTGGGCAGCCCACTGGGCTCTTTCCTTTGGGCACCAGGCCTGGGGCCAGGCCCGAGGATGAGGAGGAACCTTCCCTGCCTGCTCTGGCCACCAAATGAACGTGCTGATCCGAGAGCCTGGGGCTCTGGGGCTCGGAGGGACTGGGAGTGTCCAGAAGGAATCTGTGTCCAGTGCTCGGAGCGCTTGACCCCAAGCACGGTCAGCACAAGCAGGGCCCTTCCAGGACCCGAAGAGGCCTCCCTGCGCCAGGTGGGTCAAAGACAGGAAGCGTGGCTTCCCAGGAGGAGAGCAGCGCAGGCATAAAGGACTTGCGGGGACCGTCTGCGAAAGGCAGACTCGCCCAGGGATGGGAGGAGCAGGTCGTGGGTGTGGCGGCAGGGTCGCCAAGCGGCTGGTGGAGTGGAAGCCCCAGGCCCCTTCAGTGGGTGGGCTCCAGAGAGGAGCGTCTGCCGCGGGTCTGGCCCGGGTAGGTGGCTGTTCCGCCTCTCAGTGACCAGCGGTCACACCCGTCTGTTGGCTCTGCTCAACCACATGAACATCCAGCCGTGGATCCAGGGCAGGATTGGGAAGGGGGCTTGCGGCTGTCACAAGAGGGGTGTGGGCTCCGAGCGCTAAAGTGGATGAGCTGGGGGGAGGCCAGCGTGGGGTTGGGGGGTGGGGGGGAGCATGCGGCGGCCTGGGCCCGGACCCACCTGCCCCCACCCTTCCCCCACCCTGCCCCAGGCCGCTCAGGGTTTGGTCTCCCCACCCTGCCCAGAGACAGAGGCAGGGCTCGCCCGGCCTCTCCGCCAGTTCACATCCCTGAGGTGGGGGTCAGACATCAGAGCTTCCCCCTCCCGGTGGTGGCTGTTGGGGGGTCTCCCGACCCCTAGGGGCCCAGAAGATACATCGCCCCACCGTCTGTGCGGCACCCACTCTGGTGCTCACCGAGCCCTGGCGGTCACCAACTCCCACCTTACGAGGGAAAAACCAGAGGGCAGGGAGCCTGCCCGCCTTGCGCGAGGTCCCAGGCTGTCCCCGGCCGGACTCAGACTTGGCTGCAGACGTTCCTGGCCAAGCATGTGAGCCTGTCCTGCGCAGGGTTTTGTGTTGAGAGGTTTGGCCAACACGTAAAGAACCAGACAGTTTTCTAGCAAATCCGGGTCACGGCCAGGCGCTGCGCGGCGGTGCCTCCTTCTCTGAGGGCAAGGCTCGGGTCAAGGGCGGGCGTGTGGTTCACTTGAGCGTGACCTCTTGCGTGCGCCCCCACCTCCGTAGTCCCACCTGCGCCCACGGCCCCGCCCCGAGGCACCGTCCCCTAGGCCCCGCCCCGTGGCCCGCCCCCAGAGGCCCCGCCCAGAGGCCCCGCCCCCCCGGCAGGTCCTGGGGCCGCGTCCGCCCGGGCCAGGGAGAGCGGCTGTGAGCCCCTGGACACGAGCAGCTGGGGAGCAGCCGTGGCGTGGCCACCCTGCGCCCCTCCCTGGTCTCGACCCCAGCCCGGGAGGCGGGCGCCTTGTTGGAGGGCTCTGCAGTGACCTGTGGCCCACGCTCCGCGCCACCCGCTGACCCCTGCGGCCGCGGCCCCTCCGCTGAGGGCCCCGGTTTCGGCCCGGGACGCCCCGGAGCATGGAGCCCTTCCTCAGAAAGCGCCTGGCCTTCCTGGCCTTCTTCTGGGACAAGATCTGGCCGGTGGGCGCGCCGGACGACGGCGTCCTGGGGCTCCCCGACCCGGAGGCCGGCGCGGAGCCAGAGCCCCCCGCCGCAGAGCCCCGCAGCTCCCCGGCGCCCGCGCAGCTCTTCAGGGCGCTGTACGACTTCACCGCGCGGTGCGCCGACGAGCTGAGTGTCAGCCGCGGGGACAGGCTCTATGGCCTCAAGGAGGAGGGCGGCTACATCTTTGCCCGCAGGCTCTCCGGTCCGCCTAGGGCCGGGCTGGTGCCCATCACCCACCTGGCCAAGGCCACCCCGGAGACGCTCTTGGACCAACCGTGAGTATCAGCCTGCTCTGCAGTGTCAGGAGTGAGGACACAAGTGAGTCCTAGGATCACATGTCCCG